CAGATATGAACAAACTGCTACATAACCTGTAATTACTCCTTAGGATGACTGGTTAGCAAAACAAGTGATGATGATAATTTTCTGCTGGCCAGACACGTATTATATAACTAGTATTCCAGATGAAGAGAGGTTTATCTGTTGTGTCCTAGAATTTATTTGAGGTCACTTTATACAGTGTGTATTTTTGGGCACGTAAACTGCGATCTCTCTGTTGTTATTATTGGTTATGCAAAGAATCATAAGAATTTCCATGTTGGAGGTGGTCATTTAGCTCAATGACCCTATATGGCTCCAATGCCATTAACTCTCAAATCCATGCTCTTTCCCCGTAACCTTTTATATTGTTCCTCTTCAAATGTTCATCCGATTCCTTTTTAAATGTTGTTATCATCTCAGCCTAAAAAGCCAACGGTAGCAATGCAGCTATTATGAACCTTAGTGTTTGGCTTCCTCCTGTTCTTTATATAATTACAATCAGCTCAGTGATGATTTGAAGCTAATCATGGCTGGCTAACTGACAAAAGACAGAAATTGGGTGAAATTCCACCTTTCCAATTCTGGGAGGCCAGCCTGGAATGAACAGCTTGGCAAAAAGCAAAGCTTCGGTACAGAATATAGCAATTTGGCTGATAGACGTCAATGTGGAGCAAGTAGGTTATCACACAAGTGATTATTACCTCTATCATTGTCAGCAGAAAACTCTCTACCTTTGGTGCAGTGTCAGAATCGCGTCCTTCATCTGCAAGAGATCAGTGAGCTGATTGAAATAAATCTCCCACACGAACAGTGCGACATGCAGTAAACTTCCCATTTCCTACTGCTTGTTGCTGAATTTGATGTGGAGTGTCTAAAATGGTTTATTTTTTAAAAACGTGTGTTTCAAGATTGACGGGTTCACTAACTGACTCAATATAGTGAGCACAAGTAAGTGCACTGTTATACAAAGAAAATGATTTACTTTTTAAACCTTCCTCAACACAGAACTAGAGGTCTGGAAATTCCTTCTAAATTGCTTCAAAATTGTAAAACTTTTGCAAAATTCTGCACGCTCTTACATTTTAAGACAACGATCTTAAAGCTAAGACCGTGAGAAATTCCAGGCAGCAGATTTGCAATATGGGATAATACCACAGAGTTTACCTCTTTTACCTAAAGAGTATTGGCACAGGTTGACGAGAATCAAAGCCTTCCTGGACAACTGGCTAATTTTGTTCCTGGTTAAACCAGGAGACTCATAGATGGAGCCCGGCCCTAGTTTCTTACTGCACAATTGAGCAGTGGGTGCACAGTAAATTTATATAACACACTTTAAATAATTCTAAATGAATGCAAGTTACCTATTTTTAATTGCACTAAAATGGGTAGCTAAATAGGAACAAGGCATTTTTTTTCAAAATGTTAAACTGGGTGATACAGGAATATAACACAAATCTGTGAATGCGTAGTACCTTAACTCAAATCTGTGTAGTATCTTAACTGGCACTTTCTTTGTGAAAGGTATTTGGTAAATGCTTTTTTATCTGCACTTGCAAAATTCTGCAAATATTAAGCTGTAAATCATATTTTGAACTATTCTTGCATTTCAGATATGCCAACCCAGCACTTGCAATGATGTTACCCCCTTCCTCCATCAAGAAGGCAATGTTCCTTTAAGTAAAATCCATTGTGCTCCATGTGTAGAAAAAAATAAAACTGAAACTATTCTACGGACACATTTTTATTTAACAAATCTATTCTGCCAGCCCATGCCCTACGACAAACTATTAGCAGCTAGGTCATTTGAGACCCCATACAGCATAAAACTGAAATAACTCCAATTCTATGCTGTGCATAATGGCTTTCTATACCAGGCCAAAACAGTAACCCTTTTTTATAATAAGGGTACAAAGAGCATCACATCACGCTGCTCCTCTTCTCTATAACTCATTGGTGTCATGCTGGGTACTGGCAGTAGCCTGTTGTGCTATTTGTCTATAGTGCAGTTGTGACACTCTGGCATGATCCATAATTTGGCAGCTATTTACCGTGACATTTCCTTTCAGTGCAGCCATAACACTCACTAGAACCATTATTTGGTACAATTTACCATATAAATTGCTTTGTCGTGCATCTGAGTTAGCAGCTAGACTGGTGAACTAAACGAGAAAATACACTTACCGGTTTTAGTTACTGTCTCTTTGGTATGCAGATGTTATTGTTTGTTTCAATATGCTGACTTGATAAGAGTGTCGACAATACAGCTGTTTTGTCATTTATATGTTGGATATTTCAAACGATGCACTTACGCACAAATTCTATAATCCTAGCAAATTCTGTTCTGAGAATACAGAATTGCATTCATGCAATAAAAAAGGAATATTCTTTCAACATTAAAGACTTACAATATCATATTCCTCTGCTAATTTTCTCTCCTTCTTCCCTTTCCTTAAGACATTCATTTGTTTTACCTTCTGCTAAGGGCACATTTCACTGGCACCCCTCCCCCTGTAGTACTTTGGCCAAGCAGCCATTATTCATGTATGAGATTTGAAGGTGAATATCAGCAGCTATTCGATCATAGGAAGACTCCGCAGCCAAGTCTGATCTTGTCCTTGCCTCTAATGCCACCTTCTAAACATCCACACACATGTACCTTCCAGCAGGGATCACCAGAGAGCAAGCATGGTGGAAACACTGGCTAATTTTCCCTTCCTTACCCCAGGGAGCTGAAAACGATCATCGCGCCCTCATTTCTACCCTATCTGAGATCAGCTAACTCAACGATTGAACCCAAGACTTTCTTAATCTGTAAGGCTCAACTGCTCATCGAGGCCAAGCTTCAACTGTTACTCCTTTCATTTTCCATATAGGAGTCATTCCACATATAGGATATGTAGCTGAAATCCTCGACCACGCCTTTGTCATTTCCCAACTGGACTATTCTAATGCCCTTCTCGCTGGTCTCCCCAATTCCACCATACACAAAATCCAATTAATTCAAAACTCCACCATCCAGATACTCACCCGCACGAAACTCCGTACCCCCATCACATCAGTTCGTACCAGGCTCCACTGGTTCCCAATCACCGAATGGATCGACTTCAAGAACCTCTCACTCGTGTTCAAATCACCATGCCCTCACACCCCCTACCTATCCAACCTGCTTACCCTTCACTCCTCCTCCCGCTGCCTCAACTCGGCTGGCTCCGGCCTCCCATTTGTCCCTTGTGCCCTCCTCGGAGGCCGTGCCTACAGCCACTACGCCCCAAAACTCTGGAACTCACTCACTCCATCCCTCCGCCTTGCCCCCTCACTCCCCATCTTCAAATCCTAAAGACCTTCCTTTTTGATCATACTTACGGTCACCTCCCCTTTCCCTCTCCCCTTGCCTTGTTGTCAGATTCCGCCACTGTGAAGCGCTCTGGGGCGCTACCCCATGTGAAGGGCACTATATAAATGCTAGTTGTTGTTGTATGTATGCAGATGTGCAGATATGCCATATACAGCACACACACATACAGTATATGTATGGTACACTGCATGTGGTTAATGTGTGGATAACTATGCATGAAATCAATAAAATCAATAAAATAAAATTCAAAGACACAGAAGAGTAAATTTTGCTATATTTCTAAACAGATTTCTTAATTAAGAAAGAAATCTGTATGTCTGTCACCCAACCCAACTGGTAAGAATGCTGCTCAGTCTATTTTAGGAGTGGGTTCCCTTGAGCTGGAACGATGCTTGTGACTTACTTCTAGCGACTGGAAGGAGTCCCCACTAGGATTCCTTAATTAAGAAATATCGCAAAATTGACCCCTTAAAATATGCAGTAAGTTGGGAAATTTTCATGCAAGGTATAGTCTGCCAGCTCTCACTGAGCAGGACTCACAAGTGACGAATGGCCACATGCGCCAGGAACCGAAGGGTGTCTGACTCCTGTGGGCTCTTACTCAGCACGCTAGAATCTTCAGAAGAGAAGGGGAGGACAATAGCAAAGGAAAATAATACTTTGTATGTCTAGAAGCTGCTAGCACCATTCGTGTAAAAATACTGTAGACACGCTACAAATCAGTAAACATATCGATAGTTTATATGATGAATATGATGAATATGGTGTATATGTGATGTGCTTTGGGACGTCCTCCTAACATGAAAGATCCTATTTAAATGTAAATTGTATTATATGATTGTCAAGTGTCTTCACAGATAGAAAATACCAGTATAGAGGGAGATGGGCCCCGGTGGTTGAGGAGTATCTATTAATGTAGAGCTGACGTTTTTAAATGTATGTATTTTTAAATGTTTGAGTAGGATTTCTCCAGATTGAAAGTTCAAATTCCTCCTATTTTGTATTTACTTATCCCTATTGCTGTCCATATTTCATTATATTTCATATATTAATTGAGGTTGTTATACATAGCGGCCAGCCTGTAAATATTAGTAAGCATAATGCACACAGCTCAGTCACTAGGAATACACCACAGATGTGATGTGAGTACTGTAAATCGGGATTTTTTTTCCAGCCCTGCACAAACACAGCGGAAATAAATTGAGCGTGGAAAATTCCCGATCTACAGTGGATGGCTTTCCTTTTTGTCAAATTTTACTGTGATGTACTTCACTCTTTTATTCACATTATGCCTACATAAATCCACTTTACCAAAGCTGCATGAACACTCTCAATGCAATAATGCGACTGATTTATCTGGGCCACTATATCAGCAGAGCTGTGGTTCAGACTGAGCTATCGCTGTGTATTACCAAATCTCAGAGAAGCCTTTAGCAGCATCTCACACAGAGGTTTCATTAATTTTTGCTCTTCAACTTTTTTATTTTACAATAGGCGGACATAGTGAGAATAATGGACAGATGGGGCTGAATGGATTTAAAGAGTCCTTAAGGGTTTGCAATCTGTGGGATTTAGGAAATGTCGGGTTTGCACTGTACATTATAGGGTTTTGCTAACCAAATTGTAGGTGGTTGAGACCTATTAAGAAATATCTCAAATCCCTTCCAAGTCAATGTCAAACATCTTTAATGGTAACTACCTGACACCCAATCTGAGGTTCACAAATATTATTCACAAATATCATTTTGGAGTTTGTATATTAACATCCCATTACAGATTAGCCCTTACTGGCTGTGGCAGCTCTTGTATAATTTCTCCAATATTTTTTCTCCAATTAAAGGTGATCAATCTACAGCTTGGCAGCCAAGACTCCAACCCTACGAATCTTAACCAGTTACAATTTAGCCTTTACTGGCTGCGGGAGCTCTACCACTATTTTCCCAATATTTTTCCCCAGGTAAAGGTAATCTACAGCTTGGTAGATGGACTCCAACCCCACAAATCTGCCTTCTGGGGCCTGGTCTCCCCTATCAACTTCACAGACCAATTCACCTCTCTCATACATCTCCATCAGGTGCTTCAGACCAGCCTGATACTGAGAGGGATAATGAAGCAGGAAGAAGCCACGTACGCTGGCGGACTTCTGGAGTAATTTTAGTGCCAGATTATCTACTTCCACAGCCTTGAGGCCCCCAGGGTTTTGATAGGACGAAATAAAGCCGATGAGCAGAAGACGTCCTTTGATGGCCAAGCAGTTGACAGCCAGCTTGAACATGTCGCCTCCCACCGACTCATAGACCACGTCCAGTCCTTCCGGGTATTCCTTTCGAAGAACTTCAGCGACGTTCTCAGTTTTGTAGTTAATGGGGCGATCGCAGTCTATGGATTTCAGAAAACTGACCTTTTCATCCGAAGAGCAGGTGCCAATTACATGACACTTTGCCTTCTTGGCCAGTTGCACAGCAAACTGACCAGTGCCACCAGCAGCTGCCGTCACCAAAACCTTCTGACCCTCAGACAGTGCTCCCAGCTCCTTCAGACTGATATAAGCTGTTGTGGCACTGAGCAGCAGAGTGAGGAACTCGGGCTTAACGGATGGTACCCAGACTGCTTTTTTGGTTGGCACTATTACATATTCAGCGAAGGCCCCGGGTGCCATATAGGCCACAGACTGGCCCACAGCATAATTGGCACTGGCACTCAGACCTAGGCCTACCACTTCCCCAATTCCCTCAAACCCAATGCCAAATGGAGGCCGAAGGGAAGGATCGTATTGCCCAGCAGCGTAGTTGATGTCAGACGCATTGATGCCAACAAATCTGGATCAAACAGAAAAATGGAAGAATCAGTCACTTAAGATTTTCCAATAAGTGCAGTGAGCTACGCTAGTTAACACTGGGGTGAAATTTTATTTAGTCGAACAACTGCTGTGAAACATCACAAATTTTATTCCATAATGAAATACAGAGCAACATCATATTTTCTTACATTAGGTATATTGTATGTGATATTATATTGTACATTATGTTATCAAATATGTGGAGTCCTGTAGCTCATTGGTTAGAGCGCTCCCCTCACAAGCGAGAGACCTGGGTTCAATTCCCGGCAGAGCGAAACTTTGGGCGAGTTTCCTTACTCCACACACCTGATAATAACCAAGAAAAAAACCCAATAATAATTTGGTCACTTCAATCCACGACTGTTTGTGGGACACTGGTGTGCGCAATTGGCTGCCACGTTTCGTCCACAAAAATGCAGTCAATTCACTTTACAGTATAGTCTGTGAAGCACTTTGAGACGTCTAGCAGACGTGAAAAGCGCTATATCAAATTCAAAGAGTATTATTACTATTATTATGAAGTAAGTCATACATATATTTAGCAGCCAGCCGTGGTCTTTTTACATTGCATTGTATTTTGGAGTGTATATGAAACATTATATTTCATAAGGTAAAGTCACACTTTTGACACTGTTTCTGTTGGTTATGTTTGATGATATATATAATGTTAGCTGATGGCATTGTCCATTGGGTTGTTACATATGCTGCTAATTTATATTCTATTACGGTCTGGCCACAATCTTTCAATCCTCCTTGGACACCAGGGTGGGGCCAGAGGACTGGAGGGTTGCAAATGTTATTCCCTGTAGAAAATGAAGCAGAAGGATAAACTCGGGAACTACAAGCCAGTCAACTTAATGTCATTAGTGGGGAAACTTCTAGAGACTATAATCCAGGACAAAATAAATTTTCACTTAGAAAAATATGGGTTAATAAAGAACAGCCAACGGATTTGTTAAAGGAAACCGTGTCTAACAAACCTGATAAGAGTTTTTTGATGAAGTAACAGAGAGGGTGGATGAAGGTAGTGCAGTTGATGTAATCCATATAGATTTTCAAAAGGGGTTTGATAAAATGCCACATAAGCGACATGTAAGCAAAATAGAAGCCCACAGTATCAAAAGGACAGTGGCAGCATGAATACAGAACTGGCTGGGAAACAGAAAGTGAAGAGTTGTGGTGAATGGTTGTTTTTCTGACTGGAGGGAAGTGTGCAGTGGTGTCCCCCAGGGGTCAGTATTGGGACCACTGTTTTTTTGATCTATATAAATGTCCTGGACTTAGGTATAGAGAGTACAATTTCCAAATTTGCAGATGATACTAAACTAGGAAAAGTAGTAAACAGTGAGGAGGATAGGAGTGGACTGCAAGAGGACATAGACAGACTGGTAAAATGGGCAAACACGTGGCAGATGAAGTTTAATGTGGATAACTGCAAAGTGATGCATTTTGGGAGGAAGAATGAGGAGGCAATATAAGCTGATGGTACAATCTTAAAGTGGGTGAAGGAACAGAGACCTGAGGGTTCATATAAATAAATCTCTGAAGGTGGCAGGACAGGTAGATAAAGCTGTTAAAAAAAAAGCATGCGGAATACTAAGCTTTATAAATAGCGTCAAAGAATACAAAAGTCAGGAAGTTGTGATAAACCTTTATAAAATACTGGTTTTAACCTCAGCTAGAATACTGTTTTCAGTTCTGGACACCACACTTTAGGAAGGATGTCAAGGCATTGGAGACGGTGCAAAAGAGATTTACTAAGATGGTACCAGGTACGAGGGACTTCAGTTATGAGGAGAGCCTAGAGAAGCTGGGATTATTCTCCTTGGAGTAGAGAAGGTTAAGAGGAGACTTAATAGAAGTTTTCAAAATTATGAGGGGATTCAATAGGGTCAACAATTTTTTTCATACGAGTTGTTCATGTCTGGAATGCATTGCCTGAAAGGGTGGTGGAACCTGATTCAATAACAATCTTTAAGAGAGAAGCAGATAATTATTTGGGGAGGACAAGTTTGTAGGGTTATGGGGAGAGCACGGGTTGTGGGATTGATTTGGATAGCTCTTTTAAAAGAACCAGCAGACACGATGGGCCAAATGGCCTTCTTTTGTGATGTATAATTCTACGATTTTATGAGCAGTGTAAGCAGCAATCAGAAATGTATTATTAATAATTATTAATAATCCTTGCATTTTTTATAGTGCCTTTCATATCAGGGGGATGTCTCAAAGTGCTACACAGGATTTACTGTACACTGTATTTTTTAGGTGAATTTCCAAGATGACAGCTGAGGGGTGCAGTGTCGTGAAGTGCTTGGTGGACAGGTCAGTGCATTTTTGGCAAATGAAGTTTGCGACATTTACACAAGAAAGATGTTAAGAAATGTTGCAATCTTTACTTCAATCTGCTGCATTTTCTTGTACTGTTGCTGCAGTTTATTGCCCACAAATATACAATCAATTCATTTTACAATATATTCTGCGAAGCGCTTTGAGACGTCTAGAAGACGTGAAAAGCTCTATATCAAATGCAAGGATTATTATCATTATTATTATAAAAGGTAACTATCTTTACTCTATTATTCTGTGGATGTCTTAATAATTATTATGCTTTTGCTAACGGCAGTGATGTTTGACTGTCTGCATTCCCAACCAGATCTTTGAAATTTCGTTTCAATTGTTAGTGTCAAGTTCTGCCACTATTAAGCACTCCGAGATGCTACAAGCATAAAGGGTGCTACATAAGTGCAAGCTGTTGGTTAAAAATAAATAGTGCATCCATCATAATTTACAATTAATTGCTAATTGAAATCAAACTTCAATCTTGAAATACTTGTTGTTATCGATATATATTAATAGAATTAAAAAAGCAGCATGTCCCCTCTGATGGTCAAGTAGCTAATGACATTGTATGCACTGCAGCACAAAGCCACGCACACCATCAGAAGGTTGTAGGTTCTGTGCTAAACTGATTGATCTCAACAGGAGCAACAGTTGGGACACTACAATTGGCCTTAGTTCCCTGAGATAACAAAAATAAATTTGCCGGGTTTCTGGCCCCAATCATTATCCAGTGATGCCTAAATGTAAAGTGCAAATGTGCAAATAACAACTTGCCTTTATATAGCACTCTTCATAACATTTTGGAATACTTCACAGAGGTGGGGTTGGTTGCGGGGTTGGAGAGGCTGTAGGACTGTTGGCAAGAACGGGATTGGGCTTTTCTCTGATGCCTTCCATGACCAAATAGTTTGCCGACTTACAAATGCAAAACATCCATTCTTTTGATCTGCTGGAAGGCTCCTGGTGCCTTTGGAGCCTAACCTCAACTTCAGTCAATGGCTTTCGGAGACGATAAACGTAGAATCTCCGTCTTGTGAATAATTAATTGGTAATTAAGATCAGGATTATTTGTGGCCAGTGTGAATGTAAATGGCTGTTGTATTTGCCTACAAAATCTGTTCACTATAACCAGCCTTTGTTTTGGTCTGACACATTTCTAAACCCATCACCATGTTTAAGGGTATACAATCCAGACAGAGAGAGCCATGCATTCCACTTACTCACACAAATTTCCTGTGAAGTGCTTTGAGATATTTCAACATGATAAAAATCTATAAAAATGCAAGTTTTTTTTCTTTCTTAGGGCGATATCAGAACAGCTGATTTATGCCACTGCATTGGCAGAAAGTGTGTTGGGGGTACTGCTGAGGTTTAACCAGCTAAAACCACATAGCTTGCCATTGAAAGTTTCCCGCAATTTATAATAATAATCCTTGCATTTGATATAGCAGTTTTTCATGTCTTCCAGACGTCTCAAAGTGCTTCACAGAATATACTGTAAAGTGAATTGCTGTATATTTGTGGGTGAAATGTGGCAGCCAATTGCGCACAGCAGTGTCCCACAAACAGTCGCGGATTGAAGTGACTAATTTATTATTCATTTTTCTTGAGGGATTATTATCAGGCATGTGGAGTAAGGAAACTTGCCCAAGGTTTGGCTCTGCCGGGAATCGAACCCAGGTCTCTCGCTTGCGAGGCGAGTGCTCTAACCACTGAGCTACAGGACTCCACTCAGGACTCAAGGTGGTCCTAACTTGTCTAGTTCGGACGAGAAGGGTAACTATGACTAAAACAAGCCCTACGCTATAGATTGAGATTGTCTAAATTGGCTGCTTGAGACTACAAGTGCTTATGATAAAAGCCTTAAGATATGTCTACAATTGTTTCCCAAATTAAATAAACCGTGGCCTGTTGGAAAAGACTCTGAATATTGCTAGACAATCTGTGCTGTAAAGCACATCATAGTCAGGCACTTTGAGGAGACAGAATAGTCGGGAGACCACATTGTGTCACTGAATAAAATATTTCTGTGTCAAGAAGTTTTCTCTGAAGGAACTGGCGGAAAACAAAGCATGATTACATGGTATGTTTTACATTACATGTGACGAGATACATTACATCTCGTCACATTCTGTCTTATGTAATGTTTCATTATATTATTTAGTAACAATAACTCCAGTACAAGGCTTCCTTAGACTTAATATTTTATGCCTTGAGCACTTATGTTCTCAAGCAGCCAAAGGTTCTCAACCTTTAGACCATTTCAATCCATGGCCCAGGGCTGGTTACAGTCAAAGTGAAATGTAAATATTGAATCCACACCGGTGTTTTAAATGGCAGGCTTTGCAGTTCTACATGGTTAAACTCCAGCAGTCACCATGCTTAAGTGTATCCAAACCAAAGTGAGAGTTCCATACCTCCCACCTACACAAGGAAATTCACATGTTTGGAATGGAATCCACACTCTCTCCCTGGAGGGATAATCTTGCTTACCTAATTTCAGAGAGCATTAGGCACAGGTTGACACGAGCCAAGGCTTGGGACCCCAAAATGTGTGTTGGGATACTGCTCGAGTCTAACCAGCTGAAACCATATAGCTTGCCATTGAAAGTCCTGTCTGGTAAGCTTTCCTGCTGCTTG